AGCTATAAAGTAAATATACCTTTCAGGACAGTATAAATTTATTGTTTTATATGTGAGAACTACATCCTTTTTAACATTCGAATTAGATAAGCGTGAATGCATTTTTAAAAATTTTCTGTTCGAAGTAGCACCATCGCAAGTTGTAGCCATAACTTTCAACTTGCATTCCATTTCACAAATACCAACAGCTTTCCAAAATAATGGAAAAATTTGAGCAGATGATATTCCAAGCGTTGCAAAATTAGCTAGTGTAAACTTAAAAGGGTTAACTATACTGCGAATAATAAACACAAGAACATGAGTGGCTACAGCATCAATTTTTTGTAAAGTTGCGTAATTTAAATTGATATCACCAAGGTCAATAAATCCTATAATTTCTCCTGTGTGTTTATCCCATACAAGATTTTCTTGAATTTTAATCTCATCAAACAACAACACAATATACTTTTCTACATCACTAAAATCTTTTACTTTTGATTTTAACTCTTTAATAATATCTGGATTAAAACCACGTTGAGGATGAATATAATTCTTGTAGTCGCGAAGACGACGACGGCTTGGTAATACAAGAAAACCAGTACCAGACTTTTTATCATAGCGAATATCCTCGTATGCACTAGGAGACTTTGCACAAAGACTAAGGCAATACCTTATAATCATCGGATGATATCGCACAGATGTTGGATTTGATAAAAGGTATTTTTGCTGCTCAGTCCAAAAAAAAATGGTGAAAAACTATGTAAATCAAAAGCATTTGACATTAGATTTTTTATGTCGCCATCAAAATCAGAGGTTACTCGTAATGCATTTTTTTGAATCTCATCTTGCATACTTTTTATTTCTTGTTTCAAAATGGCATTTTCAGATCGATAGCTTTGCAAGGTAAGTTTAATTCTATCAGGAGAAGTTATGGAGATGGGGGCATTTATATGAGCAGGTTTTGTCAGCGTTTCAGCTTTACGTTTTACAGCTTTTTGTAGTTTAGCATTTTGTGACAATTCCAAAGTTTTACATTCATTACAAGTATTGCCAGAATTTATCAATAAAAAACACAAAGTTGACCCTATTAAATTCACTCTCAAATGTAGTGATTGATTTAACACTTAGATTGTACAGTTTTGTAAGAATATGTTTTTTAAAACAGTTTGAACCTGATGCAACACCCTGACACAATGAGTAAGTTGATAAAAGAGCAATAATACTTGATAAAGTAATGTTTTTAACTGATTGTTTATAATTCAAATAAATATCATGCGTATCTGGTAAGTTCCTCTCTCTCTCTCTCTCTCTCTCTCTCTCTCTATATATATATATATATATATATATATATATATATATATATATATATATAGAGAGAGAGAGAGAGAGAGAGAGAGAGAGAGAGAGATAAGCACAGTAGTTAAGCTTACTTCTATTAACTTCATCTTCTTTAAAGTGTCTCTCACAAATATGCAAAGATTTACTGGCAATTTGCTTCCTTAAAGCTGAATCAATTAAACGATCTTTTTGTTATAATCTCGCTTAATTTTTTTCTCCATTGAACGGTAAAGTCATCCTGACCTTTAGGAAGACTGAATATAGCCATTCCATGTGAATAACGAGAGGTATGACAACCATATACTGAACAATTTGCTCCAGGCATTGTATTTTGATTCAAGATCTCTAAAGAAATTTGTTTTGTTTTGCTCCTTAAAGTAGGCTGGGTACTAACGCGGATAAGAACCTAACATCAACGGCAAAACCTATTGTTTTCAACCCGTGTTTCCAGACTATTTATTTTTATGACTATGTTTTAATCGAGTGTCTCCTGCTTCCTGCAAATTCCTGCTTAGACTCTTACAGTTTGTGGTTTTTCCTGCTTTGACTCTTCTACAGTTTGTGGTCCGCACAACATACCTGTTATACAGGCTTGGCCAGGAAAGCGTGTGATTTCACGTCATAATATAACCACGCAAATACTATTTGATTTTAATAAACTTGACTTAGTTTTAAATTTTTTTTTTAGATTTTGATTTTAGATTTAGATTTTAGAATTTGAATTTAGACTTGAATTAATTAACTTGACTTAGTTTAATTAACTTGACTTTAATTAACTTTAACTTTAATTAACTAGGGCTGTTAATATGTTTTGAAAACTTGTATACGTTTTAAAAAAGATACGCTAAAAAAATTATCTTAACTTAATTATAAAGTAAATTAAAAACTTAATTAAAAACTTAGAAAAAAAAATTATCATTAAAGAAGCAAATAAATTTTCATAAAAAAAATAGCGAAAAACGAAATAAAAATAAATTAACTAAAACTAAAATAGCAAAAATAAAATTAAAACTTAACTAAAATGAATAATAATCTATAACGATAATATTATCTAAATTACGTTTGGAATAAATAACTTTGAATCATTTATCTTTACTAATGTTTTTATAATATAATATTATGTGAAACCCTTTTTAAAGTTTAAAAAAAATTCTTGACAATTCTTTGCACAAAAAAACAAACAATTAAATCGTTTATTTAAAAAATTGGATATAATTTTATAATAAAAAAATAAATAAAAACATTTATAATAAAAAATAAATACTTATATAAATATAAAAAGTATATATTATTCATTAATGTTTTTATAAAAAACTATTAGCAGTCATTTGTTACTTTATTTAAATGCGATTCAATAATAAAAAAACATAAGTAAAGATCAAAGTAATTTAATTTAAATGGCTTTTAAAAAAGTTTTTTTTTTTTTCTTCTCAACTACTTTAATGATTCTTATATAAAGTTTAAGAGAACTTCGCTGTTTAAAGCCGTCGCTTATAAAAAAAATATATATTTTTTAAATTTTAACTTTTTTTATTTTTATTTATAAAAAAATCCTAAATAACTAAATAATATGAATAAAAAATTATACAACTTTCAATGATACTTTAATTAGCTACATTATTTATAAATTTTTTGCTAATATAAAAACATTAGTAAAGATAAACGTGTGGAAGTTATTTATTTTCAACGTAAATAAAAACTAATTTTTTAATTACGTTGAAAATAAATAACTTCCACGCATTTTTTAAACAAAATACTAATTGCGTGATCATATATAAAGACTTGAAATCGCACGCCCTCCTGGCCATGACTGGTTATAGTTTTGCAGAAGTGTTCTCTAGAGCTGTCGTCTATACTTTAAAAACTATTTAATAATTGCTTATCAGTCTTGTTTTCCAGCCTGTTGGAAAGCGGCATCTGTTATCCCTATTTATAAAATTCTGGAGAGCGATTTAAATTGTCTAATAACCCTCCCATTAGTCTTCTTGCTATCATAAGCAAAGTTTTTGAATCTTTAATTAACAAACACTTAATCTCTCATCTTGAATCTGATAAGTTACTTTCTGATCATCAGTATGGATTTTAAACTTTTTTTCCTACTACATCATTAAGATTATTGAATCCTTCGTTTCCAGATCCTAGATCTTCCTATATTTATGAACGGTAATGTGCTCGATGAGTCATTTATCCTTTATTTTCTAGGATTAACTTTTCTGATCTTTCTTGGAAACCGTATATCAAATCCGTTGCAAAATTAGCATCCACTAAGGTTGCATCTCTTTATCGAGCTTGACACTTTCTCACTCCGGATTCTATTCTCTATCTCTATAAATCTCAAATCCGGCCTTGTATGGAATACTGTTGCCATATCTGGGGCGGATTTTCTAATAATGCCCTTTCTCTTTTAGACAAGGTGAAAAATCTCATTGTAAACATAGTTGGACCTGCTCTTGCAGCCAACCTCCAACCATTATCACATCGTCGTAATGTTGCTTCTCTTTCTCTTTTCTACAAATACTATAATGGGCACTGCTCTAAAGAGCTAATGTCTCTTGTGCCGTCTACTAAAATTCATTCTCGTGTTACTCAGAAAACTCTTATTCGTCAAGTTTTTTTCCTCGAACATCAGTTCTTTGGAATTCGCTTCCTTCATCTTGCTTTTCTGATTCATATAACTTGCCATCTGGCAATCTGTTATCTTGCTCTACAAACTTCATCTTTTCTTTTCCAGTAACTTCCAACTCTATTAGTGGTTGCTTGCAGCCATGTTGGATGCGAAGATTTAAAAAAAAAAAAAGTTTAGTAAATCATTTTCAAGCAACCACTATTAGAGTAAGAAGTTACTAAAAGATAAAAGATAAAATTTATAAAGCAAGATAACAATTAACAGATAACTTAAAAATTGCAATCAGAGTTGGAAAACAAAATAAAGAGAGCAAATTCCTAAGTACTAAAGTTCGTAAAGTACTAAGTACTAAGTTCGAGGTTATGGCTATAGAATCATCATTCTGATGATGAAGTACTGATGTTCGAGGTTATGGCTATAGAATCATCATTCTGATGATGAAGTACTGATGTTCGAGGTTATGGCTATAGAATCATCATTCTGATGATGAAGAAGAATGGGATAATGGTTTTAGAGAGTTCAGAATAGTTTTAGAGAGTAAGAAGCACCTAAAGGTAAATGTGGAGAAACAAGTGGACCACCTTCACCTAAGGGTGAATGTAAAGAAATAAGTTGAGTAAAAAAGGTAAATAATTCGTATTGTCTGCAAGTTAAAAGGTTGACTTTTTGTGATAGAGATTAAGAAAGGCAAAAGTTGTGGGCCTTAACCCCTGCAGAATCACTGACACTAGAACTAAGCCATTAAGTGTGGTGAGCATTAAACTCACCAACAACATTAATATTGCTTATTAATAAACCCTATGCTGTAACAAAGGGCTCCAAATTTGGCCTCGACAATGCACACCAAAACTTTACAGCTGTTGATGGAATGAGCTTCTCTGAGAGATATAAATAGGTTTCCTGAATTATTAGCTGCAGTTAAAAGGTGTTTTATTGTTAGGTTATTAGCTGCACAGTTTTAAGGAGTTTAATTTTTATATATAGTTGTTCTTGCTTTTATGGAATTTTTTTTTTAGTTTCATACGAAGTTGATTGAGTTAAATTTTTTATTTTTCAGGTGACAATCCAAATTAAGTGAATTTAATGAATTCATCTTGACGCAAAGAAAAGAACTACGCGCCATGTATATTTTGAAGTTTTTTTAATTGTATTGTGTCATAATGTTTTGTTTTCGTACAACTTTGTAAAACGCTTTTTATGAAAATATTTTTCCAAGTTTGTAAAGTTAGTTGTTTGTAAGAGTGAAAACTGTCTTGATAATACCCGACGAAGTGGTTGAAGTGATCTTTATCCTTGTTCTGTTAATTTTCAATTTCAACTTGAAATTAAAAATTAGAAATCAGATCTTAAAAGTATTTTCATCAGGTTGATTCGGTTCAGTTCATTTGATTACACTAAGATCCGAAGACACTGTTTTGCTTAATGATGTAAAATTATAGAAAGAATTATAATTAGGAAGGTCTAAGGTATCAAGAATAACAAGTGTGAGAATAATATGTGCAATTAGACAAAGCCACTCAGTGTAGTGAAAGAGAGATCCGAAATAAAAAATATAGCGATTAGTTCCTTTCGCTTTCAAAAAATGCCGTTTTATTTTGTGTGCGTTTTTATTGTTTTTTTTTTTAATAGATCACGAAGCTCGTCGTTTTATTTTGTTTACAAATAAAGCGTGTACACGAAATAAATGTGAAAGAATAAGTAAATCATTTTTTTTTCAGTGTTTATATTAAAATCTTTTTAATTGTTTTGTATTTTGTTTACAACGTGTTGTGAACGTGTTTACAACGTGTTGTGAACGTGTTTACAACGTGTTGTGAACGTGTTTACAACGTGTTGTGGTTTCAAAAATATGTATTAGTTTTTTGATTTAACTTAAAATTTGTTTTAAAAATGATAAAAGAAGAAGACATAAGAGAAAAAATTATGCACAAATATTTGGAAAATCTTAATAGTAGCTACAATTCGATAGCAAAAGCGTTGCAAATACATCCATACACCGTTAGTCGTGTAATCCAACGTTTTTCTCAAACAAAATTGATCAAACGTAACTCTGGTGGTGGAAAAAAGAAGGTTTTTAAAGATAAAAAACTAGTTAGAAAACTGGTTAACAGTTTTAAGACTAACCCAAGCCTTTCACTAAGGGAAACATTTATGCGCAAACATTTATGGACTTTCGCAAACATTTTGGGCTTTCTCATAGTTTTGTTGTAAAAGTTCGAAATAAACATGGTTTTCATTCTTTCAAAGCACAAAAAGTGCCCAACTGATCTGAAACTCAACAAAAAAGTGCAAAAACCCGCTGCAGAAAGTTATAACAATTTTATTTCTAAAAATCTCTGTATTATTGAAGACTATGAAACTTATATCAAGTACGATCATCAACAAATTACTGGTGCCGTCTATTATATTGCCAAATGTAGAGGAAAAGCAGATAAGAAATTTAAATACATAAAACATTAAAGGTATTAAAATATCATTTAAAAAAGAATCAAATGGCTTCAATTCTTATTCGGTACACAAGCTTATGGGTACCACCAAAGCAAAAGTTCGAAATTTTATTAGAATCCCACAAGAATAATTTGTTTTTTTTTATATATATATTTGATCTTCTTATACTATTGTATTAAAGTTATTATTTGGTTTGAAATAAAAATTGAAGAGTACTTTTTTTTAGTTGTTTTTCTCCTTTCACGTTTATTTCGTGTACGCGTTTTACTTTAATGTTGTAAACAAGAAGTCATTTTAATTTCGAATGAAAGAGACATTTTTTGAATACTTAACAATTACTTAGCACATTTGTTTCAGCTGTTTTTATGACGCTGCCCCGTCGCATTTTATGTATTTTAGTGGCAGTTTTGTTTTGCTTGATGCTTTCGTTAAAAAAGATTTATAAAAAAAAATAATAAATTATATAAGAAAAACTTAAATTCTACTTTTTAAAAATATATAAAAGTAATTGTCGAAAATAAGCAGAAAACACAAAAAATTGAAGTTTAAAAATGAAAATTTTTGTTTTTATGAAATGCAAATCTCTCCTTAACTACGCTGAGCAGCTAAATAAGTTACCTGGTCATTATTATAGAAAAACAAACTATTTTTATAATAGTGGCTGAATATAACCTTGTAATGTTTTGAAGCATATTTTGCATGCTTGAAACATATGTATTGTTAAAGTTATTGGACTTTGATGTTATTGCCAATACAAATTTCTGTATATAAATTGTTCTAGTTAATAAAACCACTTTATACTTTTTGTATTTTTATGCTCTTTAGAAACACATCTGAAATACACAGCACTACCACATAAATCACAATTCACCTAAAACTTAAATCTTTTTTTCTCTTCATTTTTAGTCTTGCGCGCATAACAAATCCAATTTTGATATTCTGTAGATTTTGTAAGTGTTTCTCTATGCTCTTGTGTAGATTGAGCATGTACTAGACGTTTCTTTCTTTTGTTAACAGTTTTATTTGCCACAGGAACTTTTAGTGTTTCTTTAATACCGACATTGTTACTTTATCTTGATCTAATGACTGTATTGGGAAATAGTCAGGAAATTTATCCATATCTGATCCAAAACCAATGAAACATTAATAAAATATATATATATATAAAGTCCATAAAGGAATTATTTATATACATTATATTGTTTTTTTGAATTATCTAAAATTGATAGAAGCATAAGGATCACAGTTAAAAGTAATAATTTGCATATCTATTTATGACTTCAAAACAAAAATAATGTTACCTTGTACTCCAGTTTCACTGTTTCAAGATTTAAATAATGCATGATTATTGTTTTTTTTTTATTATTATTATTAATATAAATTTGCTGTTTAAAGTTATTGCAACTCTAGTACTTATAAAATATAAAAATTGCGGGGGCAAGAAGAAAACAAAATGGTCTTATCGCCAAGCCCCCATCTTAATCTTGGAGGTTAAATTATTTTACCATTTTTAGTTGTTTACACGATCATCATTAACTGCTTTTAAAGCCCTAAAAATCCCCCTTAAAAAAACCAAAATTAAAAATCTTTATCAAAATTAAAAATCAAAAATATAAACATGCTCACAAACACTGCTTTTTATTTAAACTCTTTGAGTTTAAATAAAAAGCAGCTAAAAAATTTATAATACGTACTGGTGGCTGAAACACATATCTGACATGTCACGGCGTTAACTTTAGTTCAAAAATCTCCCGATTGCCAGTTTGCGCGTGTTTTCACACTTACTATCACAGTAAGTAGAAACCATGTTTTTTTTTATTTTTATTTTTTTTATTTTTTTTTTATTTGCATTCACTCCCAACAAGGCTGCAAGCAACCACTATTAAGTTGGGAGTTACTAGGAAAAAAAAAGAACAGAGTTATAGAGCAAGGAAACGGTTGACAGAACACTTGAAAAGTTGAAGGTTGTAGGAGTCAGGAAAACATGAAGATGGGAGAGAGTTCCAAAGGATTGAAGTGCGGGGAAAAAAACTAGATGAATAAAAGTTTTTAGAGCATGCAGGGACAGATACAGTAAACGAATGAGACTTAGCTGAATGACGAGTAAAACGAGAATGAATTTTAGTTGATGGAACTAGAGATGATAACTCCTTTGAGCAGTGACCATGATAGTATCTGTAGAAAAGAGAAAGAGATGCAACTCTACGACGATGGGAAAGAGGTTCAAGCTTAGCAGATAGTTCAGGTCCAACAACATTTACAATGCGTTTTTGGACCTTGTCAAGAAGAGAAAGTGAATCGTTAGAAGAACCAGCCCAAATAAGACAACAGTATTCCATACAGGGACGAATAAGAGATTGTAGAGGTAGAGAATGGAATCAGAAGTAAGGAAATGGCGAGCACGATAAAGAGAAGCAGCCTTAGCAGAAGCTAATTTAGCAATCGATTGTATATATGGTTTCCATGAAAGGTCAGTAGTAAGCGATAATCCAAGAAGACGTAAAGAGGACGACTCAGTAAGAGGATTGCCATTCATTAATATAGGAATGTTGACCATACTACGGTAGTTGTTTGCAGTAAGCAATTGGGTTTTTTTAGAGTTGAAATTCACAAGCCACTGTGAACGCCAATCTATTACTGAAGTGAGATCAGATTCAAGATCAGCTGCTTGTTCTAGGCGATCGAAAAGAGAAGACTTTTTGTCAAGACAGGAGTATAAAGTTGAGTCATCAGCAAAAAGAGCTACTTTAGATGAAAGGTTGTCAGGAAGATCGTTTATGTAGATAAGAAACAAAACAGGGCCCAGGATGGAACCTTGGGGAACCCCAGAAGTTACTGGAAATAAAGAAGAGTGTTGGCCTTCAAGGATGACTTTAATAAACCGGTCAGAAAGAAATGATTTGATAATCTCAAAAACTTTCCCAGAAACACCATATGAAGCAAGCTTATGGAGAAGACCAGCATGCCAAACTTTGTCGAAAGCTTTAGATATGTCGAGAGCAATAGCCCTAGCCTCACCGCCTCCATCTAATGCACGATAAAATCTTTCAGTTACAGCAGTTAGCAAGTCGGCCGTAGAGCGAGAGGATCGAAAACCGTATTGATTGTCTGACAGCAGTTTATTTGACTCAAGATGAGATGTGAGGAATTTGTTGATCAAGGACTCAAAGACCTTGCTAATAACAGAAAGAAGACTGATCGGACGATAATTGGAGGGGTCAGAATTTTCTCCAGAGTTTTTGAATATTGGAACCACAGATGCCATTTTCCAACAAGCAGGAAAACAAGACTCAGTCAAACACTTGTTAAATAGTTTAGAGAGAATTGAAGAAAGTTCTGGAGAACAATTCTGCAAGACTGTGACAGGAATGTTGTCTGGACCACAAGCTGTAGACGAGTTTAATTGAGATATGACTTTAGCAACAGATGCCGGAGTGATTTGAATGTCTAACAATGGGTCAACCTGTTTGACTGGAATGGAAGGAAGAGAATGTCCATAAGATTCAAGAGTGGAATTAGAAGAAAAGTTCTTTGCAAACAGTTCTGCCTTATCCCTGGGAGAGGTAACAAGATCAGTCCCATGAATGAGAGATGGAATGTTAGATCTACCCTTGTTAACAATGCTGTTGAAGATTTTCCAAAAGTCTTTAGAGCCTAACTTCTGCGATAAGATGCGAGATTTAGTGAACTGAGAATAATGGAGTTTAGCATCAGAAAGCACCTTTTTACATCGATTTCTTGCAATAATAAATAGCCGTTTGTTCTCAAGAGAGTTG